ATGCCCCTGGCATCAGCGTCGAGGGCCTCTGGCCCTGGGCCCATCCACGGCAAAGCTAGGGTAGGAATTCTTTGTTGGAAAGACGCTTTATTTCTGATGAGGGACCCCGAAAGGAGACAAGCCAGGTCTGTGGGCGAGAACCTGCGGATGTAAGGGAAGGAAACGGCCAAGAGCTAAAGGTTACAACCAGACCTTTGACTCCCCTAAAGAAGGGGTCCGGTGAGGCCATTCTCTGGGTGCAGACGCCAGACTCCCCTCGCCTTAGCCAAGAATCCAGAGGACGCGGAAGGAGGAGCCCCACGCCCCCGTGCTCCCCACTTTCGAGCCACGGGCCTTCTCGTACTTACCCAGGCCCCGGGGCGCGTCTTCCTCGCCCGCATCCTCTCCCCTCCCAGCCCCCTCCTCACTTCACGTCCCCTCCTCCACGGGTTGCAGCCATGTCCATTACTGGCAAAATTGTAAGGGGGTTTGCCTCCCTTCCCGGACAACAAGGCTCCGCCCAATAATCTAAAGTTCCGAGCGCCTATTGGTGGAAGTCCGAGACAAGTGGAGATCTCTGGCTTCTTATTGGTTGTGTGGCACGCGAGGTTGTAGCTTTAACCGCCTGTCTGGGAGCCTGGCGGAATTTTGTGCCAAGTGATACCCGCAGGATCCTAGCCGCTGTTCCTTAGGCGTAATGGCCAGGCGCTTTCATCTCCCAAGGCCCTGACCCGAGGCAAGGGCAAGGCTGTCGCTCTGATTTGTTTTCCTTTGGCATTATCTTGAAGAGCTATCCTTTTTTCTTTCTTTTTTTTTTTTTTTACAATAACCCCTTTGCAGAGCACCAGGTCTCTCCTACTTTTTCTAAGCTATTTCCTTGTTGCTGGGAACAAATGCCTAGAGACAAATTGCTCAGAGACTTTAGAAAGAGTCTCTAGGGACTAATATTGCGTCCAAACCAAAGCTGCAGAGTCTAAGGCAATACTGCAGTTTCCTCCTCAGCTGAAAACTAAAAGGAAAAACAAGTTTTAAAAAATGGTTTCTAGATAATTAGAGAAATCGCCTGGGAAACCTCTCTTGGGAAAACAAAGCAAGCCTGTGTCTCTATTTACTTCTGTTTTCCCAGAGATCTAAGTCTGGAAGACTTGTTTTTAATAAATAAATCTGTTTATAAAATCAGAAAAGGGCCATGGCTGGCCCTGGGAAGGAAAAGCCCCTTCCCCCTATTAATGAATTTAATCATGTAATTAAAATTCCTCTTTTCTGACCAGAAAAAAGCAATTTTACTACCTAATCATGTGTTTAAATTAGTTCAACTGTTACCTAAAATCCCCATAGAATCATGTCATTTTCCTGCGTGTAAGTCTTCAGTTTATCTTTGCAAACAGATCTAAATCTCTCCACTTGATCTTCAAAACTCTTTATAAATTGACTCACATACATTTCTAGGCATAACTGCCCACAAGCCACACTACTGCCACTACATAAATTAACGACCATCCTTTAAATATGTCTGATACCTTCTCACCTCTGCTTCTTTGCCCAACATTTCTCTGTGCTTTCAAAGTTCTTATCAAACAATACAGGCAGCATTCAAATACATGCCTATCAAAAGGTGCTCCCTAAATGCTACCTCTATAAACACTTTCCCTGACTTACTCATTGACTTTCCGCATATAGTATTGTGCCTCCTCCTTTATGTCTCCATTACCTCCTTTATGAAAGTATGCTTTTAGGGGCTGGGGGTTTAGCTCAGCGGCAAAGCTCCTGCCTGGCAAGCGCAAAGTCGTGAGTTTGGTTCCCGGTACCGGAGAAAAACCAAAAAAAAAAAAGTATGCTTTTAACAGTATCATGGTTCGTGGAAGACCCTAAGCTCCCTGAAGGCAGCTGACTTTTTCTGAAAGATTCCACAGAGCCTTTCTTAGTCCTGTACCCATTAAATGTTAGTTGGACTGAACTAGTCAATTGCCTACCTAGTCTTAGGTCCTTCCATTTCATGCCACAAGAGCTGCATGATACCTTTGGGAAATTAACAACTATTGAATAGTCATTCTGCTCCTCTCCTGCTCCACATTGTACGTAGGCTCCTCTAGCCACGCTTACTTTTCTTCTCCTTTGTACTTTATATCATTCAATACACTTGAGCTGAGTGCCGACCTTCGGGAACTGTGCAATGTTCTTATCACCCCTGACCTGTCTGTCCTCTCAACCCAAACTCTGCTGAAAGACTAAATCAGAATTTTTAGGCCAGAAGGTATCCATGTACCCACTCTAAATGCACCATAAGTTGCCGTTCTGAGGTTCTGAAGGCCTCTTAACCACGTCTTGTTGGTTGTCTAGCAACTCCAACAGCTGTAAAATCTTTTTTCCTCCTGGCTCTCCATTCCAAGATGACCCTAATGAGATTAAGGCCTTCTAGTAGTGATTTCTCATCTCTTTCATAGATGTCTCTTTCCCTCTCAACATTTCTGCAGAAAGAGCTCTCTACTTCTTTCCCCCATCTGTTCTCAACCCCTTTCCCTCTAGTCTGACATGTGATTTCCCATCTTGAAATCTTAGCTGGGAGTGTTCCATGGCCTCAAGTGCCCTCTTACCTTCCTTGTTTCCGGGTCTGCTCCTTATTAACTTTTAAGATCAGATGGACTTTTCCCTGTTCTGTTTTTTTGTTGGTTTGTTTTTTGTTTTTTTTTTTTTTTTTTTCATAATTCCCTACAGACAATGGTATCGCTTTGGCTTTCACTTTATTTGCACCTCTGACAGGAAAATAATACATAATGCACAAGCATGCACCATCTCTTTCCCTCTTCCCACCTGCCAAGGAGAATTCTCTAGGTCCCTGAGAGGCTCCCAGACTACTGCTCAGGATCAGAACAGGAAGCGCAAGTCTAGACAGAGAACAACCAAGCCTTGAGTCATTTGACTTACCTTGGAGAGGATTTGCTTACCAGTAGATAAGAAAAAGGAAGTGTGAAGAGAAGAGCCAGGGTTGTGGGGAGCAGAAAATAGTTAGGGGAAGCTTGGAGGGAGGGAAAAGACAGTTTTAGGGTGGAGAGTGAGCATTGCTTTGGCTGATTAGGTGAAATACCTTTCATCTGTTACTCTGCTGCTATAAAACAATTTGAGAAGCTAACAGGTAAGGACAGGGTAGTCTTAGCAGACAGGAGGAGGGAAAGAGAAATGCTGTATAGATTTTTTTTTTTTTTGTCTTTTTGAGACAGGGTCTCACTATGCAGTTCAGGCTGGCCTTGAGCTCACTTTGTAGCCCAGGCTGATCTCGAACTTGCAATGATCCTCCTGCCTCAGCCTCCCAAGTATTGGGATTACAGGCGCGCACCACCACGCCCAGTGAATTATAAGAAAGTTTCTTGTAGCCAGATGTAGTGGCACACACCTGTAATCTCAGCACTCTAGGAAGCTGAGGCAGGAGGATCACAAGTTTGAACCCAGCCTGGGCAATATAGCAACTTAGTGAGTGCAACCCTGTGCTAAAGTGGTAGCAACATGGGTGTCAAGAAGTTGATGTGCTGGGAGGTTGAGGCAGGAGGATCGCCATGAGTTTGAGGCCAGCCTGGGCTACATAGTGAGTTTAAGGCCAGCCTGAACTACACAGGGAGACCTGTCTCAAAAAAAAAAAAAAAAAAAAAGTTGATGTGTCCAAGAGCTATGGGTAGGTAAAACAGGCAAAATCTAGCAGATGACTAGACCTAAGTTTAGGGAGAAAAAAGGAAAAATATCATATCATATATCATATCATATCATCTCAGTTATAATAACAGAAACTACCTCTATCCTGCTCCAAGGTACTTAAAAAAAAGCTAACTTACAGCAAAGTACTGGACAAGTTGGATCCAAGGGCACACACCATAATCCCAGCTATTCAGGAGGCTGAGGCAGAAAGATCATCTGAGCCCATGAGTTTCAGGTGAGTCTCGGTAACATAAACCCCAATCTCAAAAAACCTGGAAAACATATGATCTAGGGAATATTCTTGTTTATAAGAGTTCATCTAGATGAAGATCTGAGTGATTCAGACCTGATTCTGGCTTTTGAATAAGCAGTGCCTCTTGGAACCACCTGCAGGCTAGACTAAGCTCCTCCTACTGCCCCCTGGAGCATTCTTCCATCTTGCTCCATCTTTTCTACCTGATCATTTGCTTGTAGGTGACAAGAGAAAATGCTGTCAATTTAAGATCTCTGGGCTAAAATTCTTTTAACTCTATTAAGCTAAATACCACAAACACAATGAATGTCCCTTGCCAGAAATAACAGGATCAGAATCCACACACTGCCAATGGCTGACATATTATCTATTGTTGCAGTCAAAGTTCAGACACTTCCAGGCTCTTTGAAAGGATCAAGGGATGTGAGCAGTTGATACAAGAAGAAAGCAAACATAAGGAGTTTAGTGGGTTTTTTGGGGGGGGAGGAGATTTGATTTTAATAATAAACGAAGAATGTTAAAATGAAAAGAACACAGGGATACCATTTCCTCCTATTCAGTAAGATAAAATAATAAAACTTAGCTGGGCATAGAGGAACATGCCTGTAATCCCAGCACTCTAGGAGGCTGAAACAGGAAGTTTCTCAGGTTTGAGCTTTGCCTTACCAACTTAGTGAGATTTAGTGAGACTTAGTGAGTTTAAAGGGTTGGGGATGTGACTCAGTGCAAAGGCCCTGGGTTCAATCCCCAGTACAAACTCCCCCCCCCCTTACACACACACACACACACACACACAGTGGAGGCCTTGATGAAGCAGGCACATTTATATATTACTTATTGCATACTATTAGAATATCTTTGCTAGACCATCTGACAGCAGGTAGTAAAAACCCTGAAATGATCAGCTTTCATCTTGGTTATTTCTTTGTGGTGACATGACTTTTTTTTTTTCTTTTTTTGAGATAAGGTCTTGTTATGTAGTCCAGGCTGGCCTTGAACTCTCAGCGATCCTCCTGCCTCAGTCTCCCAAGTGCTGGGATTACAGGTGTTTGCCACCACGCCTGGCGGTGACACAACTTTAGGAAAGAATTCCAAAGCTCTGTGTGTGTTGGGAGAAGAGTTCAATACAGAAAAGGATAAGTAAATAGAAATAGAAACAGAAGCAGAAATCCTTCCCTTCCTGGAGTTCACATTTGAGTTGGCGTGGGAAGACTTGCTAACACACAACAAAAAGTAACCAAAACAAAGGTGAGTGGTATGCAGGAAGTAAAGCAGGGGAGTGGGACAGGGGGTGCCAAGGGTTGAGTGTGAGCTAGGAATATGTATTTGAGAGAACATCTGATTAAGTGCATGCTGCCCCAACTGCTGTGTATGAGTATTAAAGGAGTGAATGTGTGTGTATGTATGTATGTATTAGGCTCTGAATGATTTTGCTCTGGGTTTTGTGAATATAATACCTGTGAATTCTCTGGGCTGTTCTTACAACCCTTCTGAACGTTATTAGAAGTCATTTTGAGCCAAGTGTCTTTTCAACAGAGCTTCTCCTCTTGCAGGATCCATGTGGATACCTTGAATCTGCAACAGAGTATATACATTTGAGCAGGAGCTTGGTATGTCCCAATTCATAAATATATTATTCACTGTATGTATTTATTCAAGTGAGGACAAAGTCCAGGGTGAGGCCATGGAAGTGTAAGACTAAAATAATATGATCACCTGGGACCTTTTGCATTAAAAAGGTAAAGAATTTTGTCAGTGGTACATGTGTGTAGTCACAGCACTCAGGAAGCTGAGGCAGGCAGATTGCTTGAACACAGGGATTAGAGACTAGCCTCAACAACACTGCAAGACCCTATCTGAAACAACAATAAAACAAACCCCAGCAAAGACTCTTAGCCAGGCATGATATAATCCCAGCACTCTGAGAAGCTGAGGCAGGGGGGTTCCAAGTCCAGCCTTAGCAAGACCCTGCCTCAAATCATAGTATGTGAGCCGTTTGGATATCTTCTCCACAGAGGGTCCTGGCAGGACTTGCATAGGGTAGAAGATGTGCAATCCCAGAAGGAATGGTCCTCAAAAGAAGAACCAGTTTGGGGCTGGGAGTCGTAGCTCAGTGGTTGAGCGCTTGCCCAGCGTATGAGAGACCATGGGTTTGATCCTCAGTGCTGAAAAAAAAGTGGAAGTTTTACAAAGAGAAAAAAGCAGAATAGTCTAGAAGTAGCCACAAAAACAAGGAAAAGGTTACCGTTAGGCCTAGGCCCAAGGTACTAAGTTTAGAACAAGATACTGGCCTTGGAACAAGTGCCCAAGTTATTTGGATTTATTTGGATTTGGAATACGTGCTCCTTCCACTAGACAGGAAATGGCTTCTTTTCAGGAAAGACATCTCTCAGGAAACAGGAGGAGGAAGCCAGAGGTTCCTCTGAATTCAGATCTGGAGATAGTTAAAGATTTTCTCCACAGAGAAGCCAGGCACTTCAGATAAGGCTGGGCGAAGTTCTGAGGGAGATGACAGTGGATGAAGATGTTGCTAGGAAATAGCTCAGGGGCTGTGAAAGAGGAGCTGATGACAGGCGCTGGCGTTTGGGATGGTGACCGGGGAGAATCGGAATGTGAGGCCTGCTGAAGTTATCTGAGCTGCCGGTTCCTGAGTGGGCAGTTCCTGTGTTCGGCTCATTCTTTTTAGGAGGGCAGTACTGGGAACTGAACCCGGGGCTTGCTCAAGTTAGGGAAGTGCTGTACCACTGAGCTATACCCTGGCTTTCAAGAGCTTTTGCCTCTAAGTTTCAGGTGATGTCAGCAGAGAAGCTGCTCCTCTAGCATCTGCAACACATACATAGCAGTGAAGTCTCTATGATGAGGGCCTCCTTTGGGCCCTGTGATTCAGCCTAGCAGTTCTACTGGGTCCCACTGTAAACTCTGCCCACGAAGCAATTCTGATACTTGGTTTGGAAGCAGGATCCACAACTCCACCACACAATACAAGCATCAGGCCATACCACAGTCTGCAATTCCAAACTGCATTCACAGTCTGCCTAGTCTAAATCTCTGGGTACAATGAACAGCCATCCAAAGACTTTGTTCACAATAGCCCTGTATAGGAAACAACTCAAACATCCATCAAAAGGAGGAAGAGAAAGAAAAAAAAAAGAGAAAGAATAAACAAATGGTAGTATATCCATACAAAGGGATACTACTCAGCAGTAAAAATAAATAGCTGGGCATGGTGGTATACACCTGTAATCTGTACTACTCAGGAGGCTGATGCAGGAGAGTTCTGAGTGCAAGGCCAGCCTGGGCAACTTAGCCAAGGCCATCTCAAAATAAAAATAAAATAAAATAAAATAAAATAAAGAGGGCTGAGGTTGTAGTGCTTCCTGAGTTTAATCCACAGTACTGCCCCCCCTACAAAAAACCCCACCAGTTCACATCACAGAATGAGTGAACTACATAGACATTACTCCAAAGCTAAGCCAAACATGAAAGATAATGTACCACATGATTTCATTTATATCAGCTTCTAAAAGGAATTGGGGCTGGGAAAGGATTAAGTGCAAAAGGGCTTGGGGGAACTTTGACAGGGAAGGGTAAGGGAAAGGTTCCATATTTTAACTAGGTGAGAGCTGTATAGGTTTATATATTGATCAAGATTCATCCCATGTCAGGCATGGTGGTTCACTCCTGTAATCCCAGCATTCAGGAGGCTGAGGCAGGAGGATTGCTGTGAGTTTGAGGTCAGCCTTGGCTACAAAGTGAGTTCAAGTCCAGCCTAAAATGCATAGTGAAGCCCTGTTTCAAAAAGAAAAAAAAAAAAAAGACTCATCCCACTATCTATTTAAGATCTGGAAATTTTTTAGTATATTTAAACTAATACCTCAGTATATGCACAATTTCTCTCAACTCAAGGTAATGTTGCCTCCTAAGGACATTTGGCAGGTCTGAACATTACTGGTTGTCTCAACTGAGGGGAGTTTTGTGGGGGCCACTCTTAGATATCTTCTTGAATATGTATAGAGGCTACAAACATTGCTAAACATCCTACAGCTTGCAGAACTGCCCCTACAACAAAGAGTTATCTGATCCAAAATGTCACTGGAGCAGAGGTTGAGAAACCCTGCCTACCATACCATAAACACCACCAGTTATCATCATACTGATCTTTGGATTCCAAGCAGCAGGATCCTCTCTTCTGTTTCCTCCTCAGAGATAAAGAAAACAGTAACTGTGGTGTACCATTAGCAGACACCAAGATCTCCAGTATGACCCAAAGCTGCCATTTGACATTTCCAGAATGGAAGCCATATTTCCCTGCTTGTCTGGATGGCTTGTGTATGGATGGAAGGAGCGCAGCAGAAGGCAATGCCAAAGGACCTGGCAACCATTCCTAAGGAGTCAGGAAAACTCTGAATATTCCAAAGGTAAGTGTTGGAGGAGATGGCGCACATCTGTAATCCCAGCCCTTGGGAGGCTGAGGCAGGAGGATCATTTGCGAGTTTGAGGCCAACCTGGGCTACAAAGTAAGTTCAAGACCAGCCTGAACTGCACAGTGAGACCCTGTCTCAAAAAGATTTAAAAAAAAGTGTTGGAGGAGAATGGCCCTCCCTCAGAATGATAAAGCAGAGAAATGAGACAATCAGGCCTGGGAGGAAGAAAGATAGTTTCATAGAAGAACTGGAAAGAGGATCCAGTAAAAACAGGATCTAGGGCTAGGGATTTAGCTCATCGGCACAGCGCCTGCCTGGCAAGCGCAAGGTCGTGAGTTCGATTCCCGGTACCGGAAAAAAAAAACAAAACAAAAGCATGATCTAGCTATGGTGCTTCAGAGGCAAGCTGATGGGGCAGCCACCATCCCTACTCCTCGCCCCAACCCCAAGAACCTTCTCCAGCACTTCGGAGAATATCAGACCCAATCCCAGGCTTCTCTGCCTAGCATTCTGGACTCATTTTTTTTGCACCATTTCTTGTATTTGAGATTTAAATATCACTATATTAGCTAAATCTTTTTTTTTTATATTAGCTAAATCTTAAGTGAGCTCAGAACATGGATAATACCTTACTACTACTACTTTTTGGTTGGTTGGTTGTTTGGTCCTGGGGATTGAACCCAGGACCTTCACCCTGAGCTACATCCCCAGGCCTTTATTTTTTAATTTTAAGACAGGGTCTCACTAAGTTGCTAAGTTGCCCAGACTGGGACTGAACTTGCAATATTCCTGCCTCAGCCTCCCAGGGTGTACACCATGAGGTCTGGCTTTCTTTTAAATGCCTCACCAGAGCAATTACTTACCTGTACAATTGTGACCTAACAGTGGCACCAACAATCTCCCTGGGGAAGAAACTCTCTTTGTTTAAGAACTAACGGAAATGCTTTCAGGGAAGGTGAGACTCAGGACCTAGGTCTGCATGAATCAAAGAAGTAAGAGAATGAACTCAAATACTCTCCACTAAAAAAATAAATCTAAAAGTTGGAAGAGAAAGAGAGAAAAGAACAGAGATGAAGCCTAAGCAATGTGTGGGAAAATTGGACCTTCAACCATAGAAATGGTGGCAGACTTTTAGGGGAAAAACCCTGGCACTAAGTTTAAAGCTACTCATATTTCTGCTATGTAAATGCCTATATCTCCCAGGCCTTCTACAGAAATATCTACATAGACAGATACCTTGTGCGAGACATTGGTTTACTGAAAAGTAGGGGATAGAGCCTTGCTTTACACTTGGTTAGTGCTGTTGGATCAGGAATGGCACCAGTGGTATTATGGGACAGTTCCAGAGGTAACCAGTTCAGGTGGGAACCAATAACTACCAAGAGACATAAGAGCCTGAAACCCTTTGAATTGGATTGAAGTCACCTGTATCTGCACCTGAAAAAGCCAAAGAAGAGCCAGGGTATGGTGGTACCCACTTATATTCCCAGCTCTCAGAAGACTGAGACAGGGCTGGGGATATAGCTCAGCAGCATAGTGCCTGCCTGGCAAGTGCAAGGTCCTGAGTTCGAATCCAATTTCAAAAAAAAAAAAAGGCTGAGACAGTTGCCTCAAGTTTAAGGCCAGCCTGGGCTACGTAGTGAGTTCAAGGTCAGCCTGGACTACTCTATCTATAAAAACAAACCAAAAAAGCAAAGGAGGCCCGCTACCCTATCTAAACTATATTTTCATGGCTATCATAAGGTGTCCTGTAAAAGCAAGTTGGTCTAACTTGGGCAGTATGCTCACTGGAGGAGGCAGCTAGTATCTTCCTAGTCCAATAGAACATTGGTTCATCCACAGGGGGAGACGTGTCAGTCAGAACTGGATGGCCATCATTAAAGGGACAGCAGAACATCATGCACTGGAGGACTCCATATCTGTGACTGGCCGGGACTGTGTAGGGCGACAGCCAGGCTCCCTCGAACATAAACCATTGTTCTTAGCCTCTTAGAAAGACTTTCTCCTGCTGGCTCTTGCTGGCACCCACCTCTGATTATTCCTTCTCAACCCCCATGGTTAATTTTTACTCCCGTCAGTCCTAGACAGGGCAGTAGGCAGGCTCTCTTCCTCCTCTGGTGTTATCTCTCTAGTTGGCCTAATCCAGTCCTGGGTTCTTCGCATTTGTCAGCGTTAGCATCATGGAAACAAAATACCTTAAAGGAAGAGAAGTTTATTCTGGCTAGCGGCTTTCAGAGGATTCCATCAGAAGTTGTTTGGCTCTAGGGCAAAACGGCATGTTTCAAGAGTATGGTGAAGGAACACTGCGCCCCCCCCCGGGCACACAGGAAGCAGACAGACAGGCAAGGAGCCCGGGAGGAGAACACACCCTTTCAGGCCACGCCCCCAGTGACCCACCTGCAGCCAGGCCCCGCCTCCTCACAGCCCCGCCGCCAGAAACTCCTGAATGGAATAATCCACTGAGGAGTATAGCGCCCCACGATCCAAGCACCTTCCAAACACACGAGCCCTTTGAGGGACATTTTGGTTCTAAACCATAACAGTTCTAAATGCCATAGACATCCTGAAGAGTGCAGTATCCACATGAATCTTGACCTCGCCTCAACCTCAGGTTTTCACTTAGCCAATTGCTTACTTGCCGCTTTCTCTTAAGTGTCTAATTAAGCAGCTCGCACCTTACGCCCAGACCACACTCACAGTCTCTTCCCTGTAAGAGCTTCCTTCTTCCAGTTTTCCCCTTTGCGGTAAATGGCACTGCCCAAGACCCAGCTGCTCCAGCAAAGCCTGTCATCTTCGATTCCTTTGCTTTCCTCACCTTCCATATCCAAATAGCAGCATGCATTAACTCCAAATTACAACCCAATTCTGCCTCCTTCTGTTATTTCTCCGTCTACCCCCCAACCCCCCATCCGGGTCACTATCAACACCTACTATGCTATTGCAGAAGTTTCTACCTAGACCGCTGCTTCTTCTCTGACTCTGTCCTTACAATCTATCTGTCTCTGGTAGCCAGCAGGATCATTTCACAACAGAAGTCAGATCATGTCCCTTCCCTGCCTGAAATCCTTAAATGACTTCCCGTCACACTTAGACTAAAAGCTCAAGTCCTGGGCGTAACGGCACAGCCTGTAATCCCAGCACTCCATGGGGCTAAGGCCCGAGGATGGCAAGTGTGACCTAATGAAATCCTGTATCAAAATTAAAAAGCACTAAGCAGGTCCATCAGTGTGAGGGCCTTGTGTTCAATCCCCCGGACAGACAAAGAAAGACAGAAAGAAATAAAGAAAGGAAGGAAAGGAAAGAGAAGAGCAGAGCAGAGCCAAGAAAAGAAAACAAAAGAAAAGAAAAGGCAGTGCTCAAGGCTGGGCACGGTGGCCCATGCCTGTAATCCCAGAACTCAGGAGGCTGAGGCAGGAGGATCACCACAAGTTTGAGGCCAGCGTGGGCTACACAGTAAGTATAGGCTGGCCTAAACTACGTAATGAAACCCTGCCTTAAAAAATTAAGGAAAAGAAGAAATTCAGGTCCTCATTGCGGTACATCAGTAACCTATTGCTGCATTTTAAAATTGACTCAAAATTTAGCAAATTAAAAACAACAAACAGTCAAGCTGGGCCTGGTGGCACATGCCTGTGATCCCAGCACTGGAGAGGCTGAGGCAGGAGGATTGTTGTGAATTCGAGGCCAGCCTGGGCTACAAAGAGAGCTCTCAAGATCAAGCTGAACTGCATAGCAAGACCCTCTCTCAAAAAGACAAAAAAAAAAAAAAGAAAGAAACCCTAAGACAGTGTCTGTGGGAACTCCAGAGGCAACTTAGGTAGATGACTGTAGCTCTGGGGTCTCCTGAGGTTGCAGGCTCGATGTCAGGCAAGCTGCTGTCATCAGAAGACTGGGTGGGGCAGGAGGGGAAGAGCTAATGCTGGTGCTGACAGCGGCTCCACTCCTCATCACGCAGATGTTCTGCAGAGCCATTTGAGTTACCCGAGGACATAGCTGCCAGCGCCCCCAGAATAAATAATAGAAGGCAGAACAAAGCAGAATCTTCTATGTCTTCTATGACCTATCTTTGGATCATACTTTGTCATTTCCATGATAGTATGTTGGACACAGCACAGCCCTATTCAGTGTGACAGGGATCACACTGGGAATCAGCGCCCAGAAGCAGGGGTTGTTCAGGACCATCTTGGAAGCCAGGTCTCACACAGAGCCCCTGAGGGCCTTCTATTACATCCACGTTTACTTCGTGCGTAAGTCAGAGGAAACCAAAATTCTTAAGTAAAATTCAGGTGCACATTCTCTGTGTGGGACCAAGTTGGCCAAGTTATTCTTCTTTTGTCTTTTTTTGTTTTTGTTTTTGTTTTTCTTCCAGTACCAGGAATCGAACTCATGACCTTGCGCTTGCCAGGCAGGCGCTGTACCACTGAGCTAAATCCCCAGCCCCTCTTCTTTTGTCTCTTTGAAACAGAGTCTCCCTATGTAGTTCAGGCTAACCTCAAACTTGCAGCAATCCTCCTGCCTCAGCCTCCCAAGTGCTGGGATTACAGGCGTGCACCACCACACCTGGCTTGGCCAATTTATTTTTTATTTTTTTAATTTTAAAGAGTAAAAGAAGGATAACATAGTCATGGGGGGGCGCTTACCAAATTACAGACAAAGTAGAAGGATATTATCAATGGTTATTGTTTTACATATTGTTATCTACAAGATAGTTTCTCAGGAAAACAAATAGACAAATAATAGTGAGTTACAGACAAAAGAGGTAGGAGATTATCAAGAGTTGTTGTACTATTCTTTGGTATCTTCAAAGTGGCTTCTAAAGAAAATAAATAGAGCTATACATGAGTGACCAGTTGAATAATCATTAACTATTCTCAATGGTTGTTGTAGGAAACACATAGTAATAAACATACATCCATTTACAGAATAGCATAGGAACAATGCAAACATTACAGAGTTATGGATAGATTAGTAGGAAAATATCAGTGGCT